ACTGCGTCATGGTCCGTTGATTACACGGCGCTCATTGACGTGCACCACGGTCGTTTTAATGCACTATCAACTAATGATCACTTGCCTCTCCTAACTTCCAACTCTCGGCTCCGCTCTCACTATCAACTAATGATCACTTGCCTCTCCTAACTTCCAACTCTCGGCTCAGCTCTCACTATCAACTAATGATCACTTGCCTCTCCTAACTTCCAACTCTCGGCTCAGCTCTCACTATCAACTAATGATCACTTGCCTCTCCTAACTTCCAACTCTCGGCTCAGCTCTCACTATCAACTAATGATCACTTGCCTCTCCTAACTTCCAACTCTCGGCTCAGCTCTCACTATCAACTAATGATCACTTGCCTCTCCTAACTTCCAACTCTCGGCTCAGCTCTCACTATCAACTAATGATCACTTGCCTCTCCTAACTTCCAACTCTCGGCTCAGCTCTCACTATCAACTAACGATCACTTGCCTCTCCTAACTTCCAACTCTCGGCTCAGCTCTCACTATCAACTAACGATCACTTGCCTCTCCTAACTTCCAACTCTCGGCTCAGCTCTCACTATCAACTAACGATCACTTGCCTCTCCTAACTTCCAACTCTCGGCTCAGCTCTCACTATCAACTAACGATCACTTGCCTCTCCTAACTTCCAACTCTCGGCTCAGCTCTCACTATCAACTAACGATCACTTGCCTCTCCTAACTTCCAACTCTCGGCTCAGCTCTCACTATCAACTAACGATCACTTGCCTCTCCTAACTTCCAACTCTCGGCTCAGCTCTCACTATCAACTAACGATCACTTGCCTCTCCTAACTTCCAACTCTCGGCTCAGCTCTCACTATCAACTAACGATCACTTGCCTCTCCTAACTTCCAACTCTCGGCTCAGCTCTCACTATCAACTAACGATCACTTGCCTCTCCTAACTTCCAACTCTCGGCTCAGCTCTCACTATCAACTAACGATCACTTGCCTCTCCTAACTTCCAACTCTCGGCTCAGCTCTCACTATCAACTAACGATCACTTGCCTCTCCTAACTTCCAACTCTCGGCTCAGCTCTCACTATCAACTAACGATCACTTGCCTCTCCTAACTTCCAACTCTCGGCTCAGCTCTCACTATCAACTAACGATCACTTGCCTCTCCTAACTTCCAACTCTCGGCTCAGCTCTCACTATCAACTAACGATCACTTGCCTCTCCTAACTTCCAACTCTCGGCTCCGCTCTCACTATCAACTAACGATCACTTGCCTCTCCTAACTTCCAACTCTCGGCTCCGCTCTCACTATCAACTAACGATCACTTGCCTCTCCTAACTTCCAACTCTCGGCTCAGCTCTCACTATCAACTAATGATCACTTGCCTCTCCTAACTTCCAACTCTCGGCTCCGCTCTCACTATCAACTAATGATCACTTGTCTCTCCTAACTTCCAACTCTCGGCTCCGCTCTCACTATGAACTAATGATCACTTGCCTCTCCTAACTTCCAACTCTCGGCTCCGCTCTCACTATCAACTAATGATCACTTGCCTCTCCTAACTTCCAACTCTCGGCTCCGCTCTCACTATCAACTAATGATCACTTGCCTCTCCTAACTTCCAACTCTCGGCTCAGCTCACAACTAACTCACTGTCACACTGATTATGCCCCCCCCCCCCCCAATCCAATGGGCATTCAGACACAACCATAACACGCAGGACACAATTCACGGACCAAAACAGCCTTCAAACTAACAACAGTGATTATCATACTAAACTGGCACCATCCATGAACAACATTTCAAACCGAAACTTCACGCCACTCAATCTAGTTCACAACACGGTCGTTTTAGTGCACCATGGTCTTTTTGTGCACCACGGTCGTTTTAATGCACCAGGGACATTTTAATGCACCTTGGTAGTTTTAATGCACCATGGTAGTTTTAATGCACCATGGTAGTTTTAATGCACTTTGGTAGTTTTAATGCACCATGGTAGTTTTAATGCACCATGTTCGTTTTAATGCATCATGGTAGTTTAATGCACCATGGTAGTTTTAATGCACCATGGTAGCTTTAATGCATTGTGGTAGTTTTAATGCACCATGGTAGTTTTAATGCATCATGGTAGTTTTAATGTGCCGTGGTAGTTTTAATGCACCATGGTAGTTTTAATGCATTTTGGTAGTTTTAATGCACCATGGTAGTTTTAATGCACTATGGTAGTTTTAATGCACCATGGTAGTTTTAATGCACATGGTAGTTTTAATGCATCGTGGTAGTTTTAATGCACCATGGTAGTTTTAATGCACCATGGTAGTTTTAATGCACCGTGGTAATTTTAATGCATCGTAGTAGTTTTAATGCACCACGGGAGATTTAATGCACCGTGGTAGTTTTAATGCACCATGGTAGTTTTAATGCACCGTGGTAGTTTTAATGCATCATGGTAATTTTAATGCACCATGGTAGTTTTAATGCACCGTGGTAGTTTTAATGCACCACGGGAGATTTAATGCACCGTGTTAGTTTTAATGCATCATGGTAGTTTTAATGCATTTTGGTAGTTTTAATGCACCATGGTAGTTTTAATGCACCATGATAGTTTTAATGCATTGTGGTAGTTTTAATGCACCATTGTAGTTTTAATGCACTATGGTAGTTTTAATGCACCATGGTAGTTTTAATGCACATGGTAGTTTTAATGCATTTTGGTAGTTTTAATGCACCATGGTAGTTTCAATGCACCATGGTAGTTTTAATGCACCATGGTAGTTTAAATGCACCATGGCAGTTTTAATGCACCATGGTAGTTTTGATGCACCATGATAGTTTTAATGCATCGTGGTAGTTTTGATGCACCATGGTAGTTTTAATGCACTATGGTAGTTTTAATGCACCATGGTAGTTTTAATGCACCATGGTAGTTTTAATGCACCGTGGTAGTTTTAATGCACCGTGGTAATTTTAATGCACCATGGTAGTTTTAATGCACCGTGGTAGTTTTAATGCACCAAGGGAGATTTAATGCACCGTGATAGTTTTAATGCATCATGGTAGTTTAATGCATTTTGGTAGTTTTAATGCACCATGGTAGTTTTAATGCATCATGGTAGTTTTAATGCTCCATGATAGTTTAAATGCACCATGGTAGTTTTAATGCACCATGGTAGTTTTAATGCACCATGGTTGTTTTAATGCAACATGGTAGTTTAAATGCACCATGGTAGTTTTAATGCACATGGAAGCTTTAATGCATTGTGGTAGTTTTAATGCACCATGGCAGTTTTAATGCATTTTGGTAGTTTTAATGCACCATGGTAGTTTTAATGCACATGGTAGTTTTAATGCATCGTGGTAGTTTTAATGCACCATGGTAGTTTTAATGCACTATGGTAGTTTTAATGCACCATGGTAGTTTTAATGCACCATGGTAGTTTTAATGCACCATGGTAGTTTTAATGCACCATGATAGTTTTAATGCACCATGGTAGTTTTAATGCACATGGTAGTTTTAATGCACCGTGGTAGTTTTAATGCACCATGGTAGTTTTAATGCACCATGGTCTTATTGTGCACCACGGTACTTTAACGCACCATAGTAGTTTTAATTCACTGTGGTAGTTTTAATGCACCATGGTAGTTTTCATGCATTTTGGTTGTTTTAATGCACCATGGTAGTTTTAATGCACCATGGTAGTTTTAATGCATCGTGGTTGTTTTAATGCACCATGGTAGTTTTAATGCACCATGGTAGTTTTAATGCATCATGGTAGTTTTAATGCTCCATGATAGTTTAAATGCACCATGGTAGTTTTAATGCACCATGGTAGTTTTAATGCATCGCGGTTGTTTTAATGCAACATGGTAATTTTAATGCACTATGGTAGTTTTAATGCACATGGTAGCTTTAATGCATTGTGGTAGTTTTAATGCACCATGGCAGTTTTAATGCACCATGATAGTTTTAATGTATCGTGGTAGTTTTAATGCATCATGGTAGTTTTAATGTGCCCTGGTAGTTTTAATGCACCATGGCAGTTTTAATGCATTTTGGTAGTTTTAATGCACCATGGTAGTTTTAATGCATCATGGTAGTTTTAATGCACCATGGTAGTTTTAGTGCATCACGGTCATTTTAATGCACCATGGTAGTTTTAATGCATCGTGATAGTTTTAATGCACCAAGGTAGTTTTAATGCACCATGGTAGTTTTAATGCACCATGGTAGTTTTAATGCACCATGGTAGTTTTAATGCACCATGGTAGTTTTAATGCACCATGGTAGTTTTAATGCACCATGGTAGTTTTAATGCATCGTGGTTGTTTTAATGCACCATGGTAGTTTTAATGCACCATGGTAGTTTTAATGCATCTTGGTATTTTTAGTGCACCACGGTCATTTTTGTGCACCATGGTAGTTTTAATGCACCATGGTAGTTTTAATGCACCATGGTAGTTTTAATGCACCATGGTAGTTTTAATGCACCATGGTAGTTTTAATGCACCATGGTAGTTTTAATGCACCATGGTAGTTTTAATGCACCATGGTAGTTTTAATGCA